AACAAATTACTGCAGAAACTCATTCGAAATAATTCAGCGAGAAAAAGTGCGTACTGGCACCTTCTTTATCAGTGTAATAACTTCACTGCTCTCTGCCTGTATAGGAAACAAGATGGAAACATAATGTCTCAACACAGCGCCGCAGCCCAGAGGCACTTCTTTGTCCTTTAATACTTTTCTATCGTCCGCAGATTATAATACAAAACAAAGTCACGAGAATTATGTTTCCTCTGAACCTCTCTGACATTTTCCCGTGCACATTACAAGAGATGATGTGAAAACGCTCCCTTATTAAAAAAACGTTGTAATGCTCTCTTTGCCCCTTGAGGTAATATTGAGATAAGACCCATTTGTAGACACTGGATATATCTGTCCCGTGTGTACGACTGCAGGTGTAAAGCCACTTTGTCAGGGAGTAAGTCCTCTTCACAGAGCTGACCTCATAGTACACTCAGCATGGTGCATGTGACAGACTGTGGCCAAGTATGCCAAAGTGTGAGTGTGTGTAAGGCTTGTGTGCACGTGGTGGTTAAATCAACTCATGTGATCCATTTCCTTTCTTTTCAGGTACATGTTGTGGAGGTCCAAAGTGGCCCCGGTTGCCGCCCTCTGATCCACCTGAGATGTGATCATGAGTCTGGAGACTACAGTCCCGTCCGCCATGGAGCCCGATCCGAGGACGGGCCTCTCTGTGTGGGCCATTATAGCCATCGCTTGCAACGCTGTGGTGGGCGTCCTCATCCTCATCCTCTTCGGGATCATCTACAAGGCCTGCAAGGTGCCTTCACACCAAGACACAATGCCAGTTTTCACAGCGATGCCGGAGAAGAAGAAGAAGAAGAAGAAGAAGAAGCCTGAACAGAAGTACCTGCTGACTGCAGCCTGACTCAGGGACTTGAGATGTTATTGAACTTCGTCCATTTAGTTGAGCTGAGGACAAGCTTTATTTCTCTTCTCCAACCACGTCATGCTCACATTTCTCCCCCATCATCCCCTCATGTAGAGCATTCAGCAGAGTGTAGAGTGAGCTAACTGCATTACGAGTTGCAGCAAAGCCAATAACAGCAAGCAGGCCCAATCCTCTTATCTCTGCGGTGCGTCGCTGGGACTGTCCATCTGTCGGTCTGTTTGCTCATACTCTACACAGGCAGACTATGATCTCCTCCTCTACTCCATCCATTCCTCCATACGACCCCACTGAGAAGGTGTGGTGGAGGAGAAACTGCAAAGGCACCATGTATTGTAACATGAGGGTTTGGGGCGGTGAGGTTAGTTGAGAGCCATGATAACATGTTGGAGGTACGGAGGAAAAGCAGCTCTCAAACAGCTGCCGCACGACTGACGTCAACAACAGAGCTGCCAAAAGCCTGACAGTCAGGAAGGAGAGAGAAGCTGCTGGGAAAGTGAGCGAGAACCAGGCGGAGAGGGAGACAGACGGAGATAAAGGACAGACATTTGGTGGGGATGATAAACTGCTGGGGAAGAATCGGAGAGGGGATGCTTTGATGTTGTTGTTTACAGAGAGGCAGCCCGAGGCTCCGATTTGACAGACTCCCTATTTGACACACAAGCTTCCACCGATCCGACTCCCATGAGATTAAAAGCAGCAGCAAAAATGATACTCGTGTCCCAGTGTGCCTTTCTTTCATTTTGTTAGCTCCTCTACAAGTTAAATAAGATATGTATTCGCAGCCTTCCCACTGACTGAACACTCACTGTCAGGAGTGAATATCGCATTCATTGGAGTGTCTGTGCTGCGACTAACACGTTTACTGTGTGATGTCAATATGGTCAGAAAGGAAGGAAATGTGACAAGCCAGTAAAACATGTTTCTCCACATCATCAGAATAACAAGGGCTGCCTTTCTATTTGAGGTTTGTCGTGTGTACTACATAAAAATGATGATTAATTAAAAAGTTTCTTCACAGAAAGGTTCTTTATTATGTCTCTGAGAAACATAACATCTAATATCAGGTATTGTTCATTTGTGATTTGAGGATTTTTTCTAATTGATAAGCATTATGTTTCTGTGCACAATTAATGATGAACAGTCATTTGTGCGTAAGTGACTCATTTGGTATAACTCGTTTGAATCACAATGAAGTAGCAGCTATTGTGAGCATTTCCTTTCATATCAATGTACATTATGTAACTACTTTTCTTTTTTTAAAGCTTGCACAAAATTACAACTTTGAAATAAAAACTTTGGACTTTGGAAACTTGCAGTGGTCATTTGTCAATACATTTGATATATTGATGGAATCAATTATCAATCAGAAACAACTCTACAGAATACCTGGTGACGAACATAGGGATATTCTGCAGCCCGACCAAAGAACAACTATTGTTTCATTTTGTAATTGTCAATGTGCTCTGGTGCTACTGGTGAGTTACTTGTTTTACTAACACAGTAAACTAATTCAATCTTTTTTATAACCGTGTATTCCGCAATCGATGTTTCCATGCACCCTTTGTGTATTAGCGTTATTGGCCCTACAAATGATTTGAACATGAGGAAATAATTACTCTTAACAGCGACCCACATCCTGTTCAACAGCAGCAACTAAAACCGTATCCAGTGACTACAACATACCATAATAATATCAGAACAAAACGTTGGACATGTAGTTGAATAATTAACTTGTAGTAAGTGCAATCTTTAGGTTCTTGTAATTTAATATTTCTTGGGGCGACTGTGGCTGTGAGGGAGTGCGGTCGTCTTTCAACCAGAAGGTTGTGGGTTCGATCCCAGCCCATGCAGTCAACATGTCGATGTATCCTTGGGCAAGATACTTAACCCTGAGTTGCTCCCGATGGCCAACAGTGTGTGAATGTTAGGTCCTAGAGTAAGGTACACTGCTCTGTATGAATGGGTGAATGACATGTATGTAAAACGCTTTGTAGTCCATTTACTTACTTTTTGTATTTCTACTTCATTACATTTTATTATGATTTATTTGACAGCTATACTGCCCTAAAATGGCAAACCATCGGTAAAAAAGCACACACTGGCAGATGTCTTATGGGTACTAAAGTGGTGGTGCACTATTCATGAAGTCATGTTGAGCACAACATCTGTGATCCATGATTTGACTTACTTCAAAATAATTTACTGACTTACCCCCGAAATGCACTAAATCGCAGTAACTGCACTCTGCACTAACTGCACTCTGCTTTGTGTTGTGTTTAACCGTCCGTTTATTGTCTTATCAGTTTTGATTTGTTGTCCAATGTATACGGCTGGTAATCACAGGCAATGTGTGTCTTTTTGATAACCCTGAACCCATTTAGATGAGGCATTAACAAGCCCTGAGGCATCTTCCGTAAAATAACATTAAGAGAAGTTACAGTTTGTCCTATACTGTAGTAACTGTCGCACTACCTTGCCAAGTAAATGTTTTGATGCATTTTAATACCCAACTTTATTTAGTCTTCTATCGAAAATCTATGTGTTTACACTTTTTAAACAAAAGATACTTGTTTGTTGTTGCTAGTTTTTTATTTAAGCCTCATTTTAAATTGAAATATGCCCTGAGGCTTCAGCTGTNCAGTGGTCCCCAACCCCCGGGCCCCGGACCGGTACCGGTCCGTGGGTCGTTAAGTACCGGGCCGCACAGAAAGAATAAATAACTTTCATTATTTCCGTTTTATTTATTATTCGAGTCTGAACAATCTTTTATTTTGAAAAATTCTCCGAATTCTCCCCGTTACATCCGTCTATGACTCACGTGACCCACTCTTGACACCGCTTGACCTATGCGATTGACACATATCAATATTGTGGTCACGTGATACATTAACGGTTAGCGCTAATATTAAATATTAACGGTCGCGCTAACTCACAAGCTAGAAACTCACAAGCTAGAAAGATGAGTAAAAAACAGACGTCTTTTGAAAGTTTCTTTGCAAAGGGGAAAAGGGCCAGTGAGGAGACAGAAGAAGAGCCTATACCCACCAAGAAAAAGAAAGCTG